ATTTTCTTTTCGACTCCACTTTCAACTTTCCTTTCTTCTCCTATTCTTCATCCAAATGGTAGCCAAAAGACAGGAACCAAAACCGGCGCTGTAACATGCGTGGTTAATGGTTGTACAAACTGAACTGAAAGCTTCATCAAGTCTCAATTTGAAAGATTCAATGCTTGGCGCACAGACGACTTGGAGTGGGAGAGTTCCGGATCGAACACGTTCGGACTGCGAGTGACTGATGCCGGCATTCCAAGCGACATTTTGAGACCACTAGTTTGAACAGATATCCTTTAAGATCAATGTTGGGTGATAATTTCTGAAGCGGGCGACACGGATGGCTTGCGCTTTGCATTATTTGGTATACCATAATTATATCTGATTTGATACGCCGGTAGTGATTGGAAGATAACCCCAGTGACTTCAACCTCTTTGTGTATGAATGTCGATTCAACCCCTTGATCATTTTGATGGTCATCCTTTTTGGACACTCCAGCATTTTGCAATCACGTTGTAGCCATGGATTCCATACCTGGATGGCGTACTCTGTGAGTGGGTGAATGTATACTGATAGAAGACGGGGAAAAGCGCTAACTCAAACCAGCCAAAGACACGCCTAAACAAACCGACATTCTTTACAGCTGCGTTCGACACGTTGGCGAAGTTGAATGAGCAGCCTGTTTTTTGAATGATGATGCTCAGGTCCTTCTCACCTGAGGCGCGTTGTTCATTTCCGAGGAAATACGAAAACCGCTCCTGTGTCGTAGAGCCTTACGCTTTGGTACACTGAATTCAATATCGTTCACAAGAGACCAAAGGTGAGCTGTTTTCAGCGTTTCACGGAGCGCCAGCAAGCCCCATGATTGCCTCACTGTATTCCAAATTTTGGCGTCATCTGAAAACAGTAATGATTTTGGCCCCAGAGCCTTTAGCAGGTCGTTTATGTTAGGAAAAGTCGCGATTCAAGCACAGATCCTTGTGGAACCCCGCGGGTCCATAGGACTGGAAAACGAATCAGAAACACGAACCGATAGGGTCCGATGTCGGAGAAATGCTTCGACCCAATCAAGGTCTCGAGTACCGTAATTATAAAGTTTCCGCAGTCGAATCCCGTGTTTCACCCGATCGAAGTCGCATATATTCAACTCTATGACTATACACGAACCAGAGAACATTCTGTCGACCAAAGTAAAGGTAAAACTGAGATAGCGAATACATATTCGAAAGAAACTATGATCGATGGACTAAGACCCTTTATCTAATCTAGCCAAACGACCAAGTTGAGGTTCGACCTCTAGAGTATATAAAAAACCTTCGAAAGAAATAACCTCGCATGTGACAGAAATCCCTCGAGTGGTACGTTCCATCTGAGGGAAAAGATCAGACCACAGATTATACAAGCTGTATAAAGAGTTTCCCTCACGAATCATGTGCGACAAATGAACGAGTAGAAAAATGCAGAGAATTCAACAAGCTGTGCAGCAGTTGAGTTGCCATCAAGAACCCCCTAGTGAACAAACATACCAATGGGATTTCCCGTGAAGCAACTACAAAACTGGATGCAATGGGTTGTTGTTTCACGGCTTATTTACTTTACGGCAGCAAAGCTTTTCTGCTATCAGTCGAGAAAAGACTTCATTTTTGCATTTTATTTCAGCGCTTTTATTAGTAGCAAAAGTTTTAGCAGGAGGCAGATTTATACACTGAAAACCGGTTTTTAAGCTGTTCACCGGAAACGCAGACTTAACTACTTCCTGGAGAATCAATCGACTTTTGACACAAGTGAGAATTACGTCTCAAATATCTGCGAATATGCAGCATTTCCGAGAAGACACAGTACTAAAGAGCGGTAAAATAAACTGCAGATGATAAAAGAAATTAAACGAAATTGAGAGCCCACCTGGAACATAGCCATAATGCTGACGAAACGGACCAGGAAATATCACATACGAGCCCGGTGAAGGAAGGGTGGTTTTATACAGCAGCTGATAGATACGCGCCTCGATGTTCTCTGGAGTGCGACTGGTAGTCAGAAACATTGACGCCCAGACATCTTCAAGCCACCCAAATAAACCATAGACAAACGGATGACGTGAAAGTACCCCGATTGCCTGAGTAGACGGAATAGATGGAACGGATGAGTGGTGCCTTCAGCAAACACAGTATTGCAGTGTATAAAATAGATTAAAAAGGTACACTTGTAACAATGGGCGTGTTAGAGAATGGCATTGGAAGTGGACAATAGTGTTTTCTAAACTCCGTTAAACATTTCCGTTGTTTTTCCAAATCTCGCATTCGGCATCTACACACAGTTCGAAAAATAAACAGGTCTGTAATAGCATCAGCTGGTGATGATCAAACGTGAACAACACATTCGAATGTGAGTAAAATTACAAAAGAAAAGGTGTGATAGTGGAGAAGGTGCAGACAGCGTAACAAATTATGTTGACATGTGGATTCCGAAAATACATAATCCTCGCGTTCGTCAACATAGAACGGGATGCTATTATCGAAAAATATCGGACGAGGTTTATATTTGCTCGAAAAGGAGCCTTATTTAAAATAACCGCGTGGGGCCGCTTCGCTAAACAAAAGATAGCAAACACCCGGAGATTAGGCATCAGCGAGCGGCGATTTTTCTTGACTCGGTTCGAAATCAATCCGTAAAGGATTGAACGTATATATTTACCACCGGCTTGAAAACAAGCATGGTGCCAACGCACGTACGAGAAGGGTTCCTGACTTGCTTTGAAAACCTTGGTTTAGTCAGAGGTGGATGCCTTGGGTTGTGGCTTATCACCCTTCACTTGCACCTCGCAAAATATTCCCATATGATCAAGCATATCAAATAGCATCTACGACGGAAGCAATACTTACTACCTTAACGTGGCGGTGTTTTCCCACCAAAGTGAGAGGGGAAAAATTAGCATCCGGGGCTGTAAACGAGTTGGTTAACCAGTGGCAGTTCACCTAGAAGAGTTGGCTAAAAACCCCGATTCGAAACCAACTAAGAAGAAGCGTACGAACCACACGCACCCACACTCCTGCTGTGGCAGCGGTCAACGGTTCGATTGGACACCTAGGATGTTTGACCCATGCTAAAGGGTGTATGATTACACAGACGCCCCGTTGCCTTGCCGGTGAGGCTTTGGCTAGCCGAAGGCTTCAGTTATGAATTCCCAAGAAAATTCATCTGCCTCGGCCTGAGCGACCTGATAGTATTTCGCCCACAAACCAAACACGGTGCTTTCCCTATTTTTATAAAGATTACTGTAGTGATTTCTTTGACGCGCGGTCTATATTTAGATTTGTGTGAAATACAAGTACAAATCATGTAATATCCTTCGTTCTCATACCCGCTTTCCATTTCACAAGCACAATTGCGTCAAATTTCGTTAGGTTAATGAAATAAACAAAAGGACTTGCAGTCTGTAGCTTTCTTCGATTTCTATGTCCGGTATATTGCGTGAAAATCACAATCTGAAGTAGTTTTGAATTGAAAGAGCATTACCATTTTTATCACAGAGAGGGTAGTATTTAGAAAACTCAGGGAAAGATCTAGGTTTAACGGCTCAGTATCACCAGACCAGCTGCTTGGGCAAGTCCGGGCTGTTTTTATTAAACACGAAGTGATTTACAACAAAAGGAACAAACCCCATAATCAACGATATACTGTAAGGGGAAGGTATGTGGACGAATATTTAAGCAAGAATCAATTTGTTAATATTGCTTTTGAAAAATGTGAGGTTATAAGAGCTGGAAAACACGGAAATGGGAAAAGTGTTCCACAATTTCGTAGTCCTCGGGAAAAAAAGAAGATTGAAATTTAGAAGTCCGACATGTGGGGACAGAAACCTGATAAGGGTGACTGGTCGCCTGAGAGCGAGATGGACGAGAGGTCAATGGAAGGGGAACCGCTGAAGCGAGTTCGAAAGAGCAGAAACCAGAATAGTAACGATAGAAAATAGATAATGAAGTAACTGCACGGCGATGGGAAAGCGACTGCAAGGTGGAAGTTAAAGACGGTTCGTCGATCAGCCGGATGGCTTTACGTTGAACACGGTCGAGGAGAGAAAGAGCATAACACGAAGCCCCAACCCATAGGTGACTGTAGTATTTAAGCATCGGGCGGATTTGAGCTTTGTATAAAAGAAGGTGCTTGGGTGTAAAGAAACATCTTGCGCGGAATAGGAAACGAACTTTGCGAGCAGCGCGAGAGGCAAGTGCAGAGATAAAAGGGGACCAACAGAGAGAAGAATTTATGGATAAACCCAGGAGGGAGAGAGAATTTGTGGAACGAAGGGACAGAGAATCAAAAATCAATTGAGGAGAAAAGGAGACATATTTAAGAGAGACTGAGAGGAGAGAAGTTTTGGAAGCATTGAAACACACGTTTGGTAGAACCACATGCGGAGATTAGTCCGAGATCGGAGGCAAGATAAGCACTAATGACATTACGATCGTGATCGATGTTGGTATTAGCTTGAG